GTCTTTTTATGCACTATTTCTAGAGTTGGTGGTTCTTTCATGTGATACAGGCCTTTGTCTTTGCAATTCATGTGTTACAGGTGCAAGGATTCCTGGCTACGTCTAGACTGGCATGATTTTCCGGAAATGCTTTTCACGGAAAAGCGTCCGTGGCCAATCTAGACGCTCTTTTCCGCAAAAAAGCCCCGATCGCCATTTTCGCAATTGGGGCTTTTTGGCGCAAAACAAATCTCAGCTGTCTACACTGGCCCTTTTGCGCAAAAGGGACCCAAACGGGAGCAGCATAGTATTTCTGCAAGAAGCACTGATTTCTTACAGTAGGAAGTCAGTGCTTTTGCGGAAATTCAAGCGGCCAGTGTAGACAGCTGGCAAGTTTTTCCGGAAAAGCGGCTGATTTTCCAGAAAAACTGGCCAGTTTATGGCATTGAGAGAGGATTTTTTGTTTCTAGGAAGGAAAATACTCGGACTGCTTTTTTTTAAATCAGCTAAATCATACCGGTTACAAAACTATGTGAAGAGGCAATGCTGACCTTGGAAGCACAGATTTACTGAGTAATTTCTTGGAATCCTAGAGTCTTGAGCAATGTACAAAAAAGGCCAAATGTAAAATTAAACATTTCCCCCTGCTGTTTATAACCAAGATAAAATATTACTTATTTTTGGTACTCGGTTGCTGGTTTAATCTGAATCAGTTATACATATCTTGTGGTTATGAAAGTGGATAAACACTGCAGATAATTAAAAGTAAGCCTTCTGCCTCATGCTGTAAAGTAGGGTATGCTGAAATAGCAGTAGCATCATATTTTCCGGTTGACCATTTTTATGGACATCTATGTCATCAGTGAGACTTTGTTAGATAGCTGTCCCACAGTGGAGTGTTTGGAATAGGATCAACAGAATGTTTTTCTTTCTGACTGACTGACTGACTTAATATATCAGGCCACATACAGCATATATAATACAAATTATTACCTGTAAGATACTCTTGTCTTTTTAAGATTTTGTTTAAACATCCAGTCAGAGATTTGAAGTAAAAATTAAGTAGCACATTTGAATTACTGTTCAAACATTGTGATAGTCAAAATCAAGGCATTACCCATGTCAGAATGTGAGCTGCTTTTTTACACAACTTCCATATAAAGTTACATTGTTTTTAATCAATTATGTAGCAAGATGTAACTTTATGTTGTACAAAGTATTCTGCCAGTACTCTAGTATCCAGACCAGTTCAGGACCTAATGGGATGCCTATATTTACTGGTGTGAATACAGAACTAAGAGCTATAATCCTGCTTCAGTCACAAGATGTCTTTGGGGAAATTGCTTAACCTCTCTGTGCCTCAGCCTTCATCTGTAAAATGAAGGAACTTCTGTCAGTGTTCTGAGGTTTACTGATTATGTTGCAAAGTGCTTTGAAGCTGTAGTATTATGTAAATGCTAAGTAGTTGCTTTCATGTTAACCAAAATTAGTCTATAATACCAGATGGTCAGTGTGTATGACATAATGGATACCTCTCTATTGCTGCAAAGATATACACATTTTTATTCAAAAGGATAATTCCTTGCAAAAGGAATAAGTGAGTGGCTGGGTGGATTTATTCATTCTTTGGTAAGGAGTTAAAAATCAAGCCTTCCTATATTCAGTGTTGTAGCTGTGTCAGTCCCAGAGGGGAGGAATGTAAAATCCTGCATAATTGGTTAACCAGTTAAACTTGAAGTTTAACCGGTTAACCAATTAAGGGGAGGGGCTGGAGCAGTTCCTCCCTGTGGCTCCGCCGTGGGCAGAATGCCTGGAGTAGCTCTTGCCTGTGACGCACCCAGGCCACAGTGGACAGGGGCTACTCCCTGCCTGAGCAGCCTGTGTCTGCAGCAGGCTCAGTGGGGGTGAAACAGCCACCTGCTCATGGTGGGTTGGTAGCTGCTCTAGTCTCCACCTGTTAACCAGAACCAGCTAAGCTTTCGCATCCCAAGCAGAGAGAAAACATGGGTGACAGATATTACCTCACCCACTCTGTCTCTCCAACGAGCTAAGTTGCATGTACTCAGGTATTAATTAAAGTTGTGCTTGTAACTGTTCAGGTATCAAGAGAAGAATAACTCCTCAAAAGAACTAGTGTACATATTCATGCAACTAGTAACTATTTGTGTTAATTTTCAAATATATATGGAAATGTTTGTTGTCATAACAAGCGATACTGTAGTCCAGTTATACCAAGGGGGTGGGGGAATCATAGAATACTAGAACTGGAAGGGACCTCAAGAGGTCATCAAGTCCAGTCCCCTACCCTCACGGCAGGACCAAGCACCGAGTAGATCAGGGGTTCCCAACCTTTTTCTGTACCCTCTTGGCTTTTAGTAAACCTTCCCGTACCCCCTATTCAATAGGAAAGGAAATAAATTCTAGACTCTAAAATCCACACCTTTTTTCACTAACATGACTACTTTTGGAATATTTCAATTAGGATAATCTAGTCATTTATCAGCTACTCCCCGTGCCCTCTTGACGAGCTTCTCATACCCCCTGGGGGTACGCGTACCCCAGGTTGGGAACCCCGGTCTAGATCATCCCTGACTGGTGTCTGTCTAACCTGCTCTTAACTGTCTCCAGAGACGGAGATTCCACAGCCCCGCTAGGCAATTTACTCCAGTGTTTCACCCCCCTGACAGGTAGGAAGTTTTTCCTAATGTCCAACCCAAACCTCCCTTGCTGCAGTTTAGCAGCAAGAATGGCATATTTGTCTCACTGCATAAAGAAGATTTCTAGCTCTGATCTTGCACAGATACTTAACCAATAGTTTTAGAGAAGTTATGGTGTGACAGGGTGAATCACTGATGACCATTTGGGATTGTTCCATGGTGTGCTGCAAATGCCACTGTCACCTGCCGCCTTGCTCTCTTGGGCACCCCATCATCTTATTCTGCTGGGCAGGATCCTCTGGTCTTCCCCAGACAATGTACAACGTGGGCGTTATCCTCCCGTTCCCCCCCCCCAAGAACAATGCAGATGCTGAACTATTTCAGCTTCCGGAGAATGCAGTTCTAGGGCACAGCATCCAGGAAACCAGCCCTCAAGAGGGATCAGAACAGCAAATAAATCAGCCTTTCTCTCAGTAAAAGTTTTTACACAGTGAAAGTTCATGAGGCAGTTTGCCCTCTTTATCAGTGAACAAGAGAGATGCACACTGATTGCTCCCCTCAGGTAACAATTATTTACAGTGGGCCTAATAGTAAACAAAAGTGTTTTATTAAGTAGAGACAATAGGATTTAAGTGGTTGCAAGTGAAAACAGACAAAGTTAAGTTACTACATTAGAATGAAAACACATAGCTAGTTCTAATGAACTAAACAACAAGCAGATTCTTACCCTAAAGAGCTGTTCTTATTTCAGGCATAATCTTCAGGTCAGTCTCTCTTTTTACCCTGACCTGGAACTCCAGCCCTTTGTATCCTTGCAGGGTTTCCATTAGGGATGTAAAATACCTTTCAGTCAGTAAACGGGATCCCGCAGGCTCATCTAAACAATACAGGAAATCTGTTTGCCAGTGAGCAGGGTTTTCCTTACTGAGGAGCAGAACACTGAGCTCCACCACACAAATGGGAATGAAACATACAGCTATAGAAAACTGTTCCAGACCTTGTAAGAGCTCTTCCGTGTCACTGTCTTTCAGCAACACTGTTTGATTTTCTTTGATATTCCCAAAATGGCAAATGTCAGTCATCGGAGCAACTGGTGAGGGGGGGAGCCAAGGGGAGTCACCAGCCACGTGACCCTCCTCAGCCTAGGGTAGAACCGGAACAACCCCCTCTGCCCTGGCCTTACCTCTCCTTGCCCCTCTTCTGTCCTTTCCCTTCCTCTTCCCCATGCTGGCCCACATCTTCCCCCAACTGATACGGCCTGGGGGACTAGCGGGGCTCTGACCCTGCCACTCTTACCACCAGTGGCAGGGGAAGCAGAGCAACGCAGCCCCAGCTTGCTATGCTCCTCTGGCCGTGTTGCTCCACTTCCTGCCAGTGGGCACAGGAGCAGTCCTGCTGCTTCCTGCAATGGCAGGCCAAGATGTCAGAATGATCTGGGATCACGTTCCTCCACTTTCCCTGTCAGTGAGTGCGGGTGAGCCAACTCCTGCTGCTGGTGCCAAGGCCTCCCCGTCCCCCCACCTGCTAGCCCTTCTGGACACTCAGGGACTCTGGTCCTGTCAGCTCCTAGCTGGAGGCATGTTTCCCCTTGTGCCCCTTCCTACACATCAACCCTGCCCATCACTGATCTAAAAAGAGCTGAAAAAGGAAAGTGTCAACTTGCTAGAGCTGCAGTCTTCTCTTAGTCAAATGACATTGGGTTAATATTGAAATGTGAGTTTTTATGTGTGACTGAACAGTTATGAAAGAAACATGAAATTAACTAGAAATGATAATGGACACAGAGCAACTATAAAAGAAATCCATAAAGTTTTTGGAGAATATTGGGGACAGTCTCCTGGTGCAAGTGCTGGAGGAATCAGCTAGGGGTTATGTTCCTCTTGATGACCTGTTGCTCACAAACAGGGATGATTTGGTAGGGGAAATAGAAGTAGGTGGCAACTTGGGCAGCAGTGACCATGAAGTGGTTGAGTTCACGATCCTGAGAGAAGGAAGATGGATGAGCATCAAGATATGGACACTGCACTTTAGAAAAGCAGATTTTGACACTGTCAGGGAACTGATGAGCAGAATCCTCTGGGAGGCTAATATGAAGGAGAAGGGAGTCTAGGAGAGCTGGCTGTATTTTTAAAGAAGCCTTATTGACACAGGTACAAATCGTCCAGTGAGCAGGAAAAATAGCAAATATGGGAGGCAATCAGCTTGGCTTAACAAAAAATATCTTCAGTGAATGACGTGTGCATCTCTAGGCACTCCTGCCTCTTTGGCAAGTGGCAAACTGGAACTTTTTCCCTAACTGGAAAATTGCAATAGATGTTGAAATGCCGATAGTGATCCGTGGCGACCCAGCCTACCCAGCGGCTCATGAAGCCCTACATGAGCAGCCTGGACCGCAGCGAGGAGCAGCTCAACTACAGAAGTGCAGAATGTGCTTTTGGGTGTTTAAAGGGAAGGTTCCGCAGTTTGCGAATGAGGTTAGACCTCATCAAAAGCCACCTTCCTGTTGTGATGGCATCCTGCTGTGTGCTCCATAATATTTGTGAGAGTAAGGGGGAAATGTATCTGTCTGGGGGAATGCCAAGACGCAGCGTCTAGTGAGGGATTTTGAGCTGCCAGACGCCAGGCCATAAGGAGAGCACAGTGAGGGGCAATGCTAATCGGAGATTATTTGAAAGACAGTTTTATGAATGGCCAGATTTGAGTGTCATGCATGTTGTTCTCAGTGAGGTGCCACAGTATTCAGTGTGCTTCCCTGTGACTCCCCACCCCTTCAGTAAAGAGACTGTTATTCACAAATGATGCATTTTTATGAAGGGAAGACAGAGCAAACACACAAAAGGAGGTCAGCGTGGCTGCTTCTGGGGGTTGTGCTCACAATTGGGAAGAGGACAGCCTTTTGGTTCGTGAGACATCCCTGGGGTTGAATGTGAGGCTGTCCTTGACACTCTCCCCCCGCCCCCCCGACGCATTCTAGGGCTTCTGGGGGAAGAGGTTATGATGAGGTGAGGAGGGCCCACCCAGAGTCCTGGCTTAGGGCAAGTTTTGTGAATGGATCTGTGTTCATGATTAAGATAAATTTGGTGTAAGACATTGCCGAACTGAAATATGTATGTGTGCATTAGAGTACTATATTATTTGAAAGGTAAGCTTGCTGTTTAGAGGTGGAGTTTTGAAAGTTTTAGTTTGGCTAATGTGGAGGAAGCTCACTCAGTCTTTTACATGCCCTTCACTTGGGTGTCTGCATGCTCCCAAAATGTATCCATTCTGATAACAAAGTAGGATTTCATCCTGTGACATTGTGGCACTATTCACGCACAAATCACTTTGGAAACAAAAGTGAAATATAGAAGGACAAATGTAGGGGGAAGGAATTGAAATGTTGTCTGTCTTATGCTCCTGTGAAATAGAGCTTTTGTGTAACCTTTGTTTTCTTCTTCTCCCTGTTAAGTTTGTGCTGAAGCCTTCAACCCAGATGAGGAAGAGGAAGATACAGAACCAAGGGTAAGAGTGGGCAAATCACACCTGGCACAGTCTTTTGCAGAGGTTACATATATATGGAAGCATCTCATCCCCTTGTTAATTCTGCAATGTGAAATGATTACTGACAGCAGATTTCTGACATGTTGAGCGTCTTTGTTCTGTGTGTTCCTTTGTGCAGAATGGGCTTGGATGGACAAATCTGTTGTCCAAAAGCATTTTAAAATTGTACCTAGAGGCCTACTATTTATGTGAACTCAAATCTTTTCCATCCTTAATTATCTGCTTACGTAGGACTTGTTCATACAAGTCTTGGAGCAGTAATGCTAGTGTGAAGAATTAGTTAAGCTTTAGCACGGCTCTCTGGATGCCTCGATTAAAAGACCTCATATGGTTTTTAGGGATATTAAATATTGAATAATTTAATAATCGTGTAATCGCACAATTATCCAATAGTCCTTGGGGGCCAGTGCACTCCTGGCCCCACTCCCGGGAAGCCCCCTGCCACACCATGCTGCTGCCTCTCATACGGAGGCAGCAGCAGTCCCTGTTCATGGAGGGCCCGAGCTCCTTGTAGACAGAGGCTGCTCCACCATCCCCATGGAGCAGCCTCTCCTGGCCCCTCTCCCTCCGCGCTGCTGTTTTCAATAAAGGCAGCAGCGTGGGGCAGAGGGCAGGCAGTTCTACGGAGCCAGTGCTCGTGGGGAGCCAGCTTTTAGGCTGAAGGGAGCCTGTAGTCACCAGTTGTTGAATCTTTGTAAATCAGTCATTTATAGGGATATTACCGTTCCTGGTTGATGGGGTCATATTTCCTTTGACTTCTGGAATGCACCTCACTTACCTTGTTAGACTCAAGGACATGGCATATTTTTCCTATTGTGAACATTTAAAGGCAATTTAGTTTATTATGAAGGAAAAGATGCTTTTTAAAATCTTTTAGTACAAACCACTGAAAACCAGATGATGGGGATCTCTGGAAACTGCAAATATGTTTTTGAAAAGTGGATTCATTTATTGCGTTAGAGGCTTTTTGACTTAAAGAATTTTTTTTACATCCAACATTTATGTTCTTCTGTTTTTAATGGCTAAATACTTAATTGTATAACTTTCTTTCAGAATCCTGGCTATCTTTATGGTTAATTTGAAGCAATTCATCCTTTTATATGCTTAGTATCCTATTTTAACCCCTAGTGAATTTACTTGGATTTTGTTTTCATTACAATAAGGAATTATTTTAGTGAAAAAGATTGGCATTAGTTCTCTTTATGTGGAAAGATGCCATCTGAAGGAAACACATCTGTCTTCATTTTTGTAGTGATGGCCAATGAAATTCTGGTATCAAGTATTTTAGATAATGTACCATGGTTATGGCCACTCAAATATATAAGACTTTTGTACTGTCCAGAAATTTCTTTAATAATCCTCACAAAGGTATCTAGGTACTATGCCATATACTTCGGATCTTGTCAAGATCTTGGGTGCAGGGACTCTGGGGTCAGTGGCTGGCACTGAGGGCAGTGAGGGGTGGGGGGGCTCTAGGGGTTAGGACTGGCACTGGGGGGCTCTGGGTGCTGAGGCTTTTTATACCACAGACCCGCAAACCCATTCACAAACTTTTGGTGGACTGGTAACATTATATTTACATATTTGAATATTCACGATTTGCGTAATGAATATGCAAACAACACATTACTGGCCCACCAAAAGTTTGTGAATGGGTTTTCCAGTCTGCAGTATGAACAAGGTTGAGAACCATGGATTTGAAGGGCATGGAGCGCTAGCTGCCGGATCACCAGGCCTGGGGCAGCTGCCCTTGTGCTCCCTCTTACTGGTGGGCCTGAGCACTTCAAATACTGCAGTGGAATTTGTGGCTTAATGAAAATAAAATTTCCAATTAACTTATTGTCAGTATAGACACCTACTCTCTGCACCAAAATCTGCACCAAAATCTGGAAGGGAGTTCGTTGTGACCATTGGAGCTGCACGTTATTTTCGCTTGTGGAATCATCACTTGTGTGGCTCCATAAGTTGCTGTTGCTGGGATACCCCATCTTCCTCTTCCCTCCTGTTCAGTGTTTTCTCTACAAACATAGTTTAGTCTACTTCTATCACTTGATTTTTAATTTTATTAATATTAGATTTAGAATAAAATTAAACAAATAGTGTTGTTAGTAGGCTGTGTGGTTCTGTTGGGACAAGCTGTTGTCATCTGCGGACTCGGATCTCCACTTTTTAGAAGCCCATAGAATCATAGGACACTAGAACTGGAAGGGAGTTCGAGGGATCAAGTCCAGACCCGTGCCCTCACGGCAGGATCATTCATCTCTTAAGACTGAATGGATGACTCATTTTCACTGGTGCAAGGGAAAGATTTTAGTTCCTAACCTCCCATGCCTAGTGTCTGAAAATGCTTAGGAAAGGTCATTCATCAGGGAGAAGCTCTTTCTACACTAGCTTCACTGTGGCAGTCCAGCCCCCATACTTCATGAAATTGGCTTATGAATATAAATATGCAGAACTTGAAGATGCTTTGGCTAAAATTCCTCATGTAAGCTATCGATGTTAATGTGACAGTCTGCTGGATCTGTATGTCTTGGGTGCATGTATCATTCTTATATGAAAAGTCAGAAATATGAGTGATGAAATGGTTTAAAATGTGCAAATGTAAGCCCTCGATGGTGCTCCTCGGAACCCTTAATGACTAGGTGATCAGCTAGGGATGTGAAAGACTAGTCAGCTATCCAATGAGCACATGCTTATCGGAGAGTCAACAAGCTTGTCGACTAGTCACTTCCTTCCCCCCCCTTTTGCTGCCTCTATCAGAAAGAGGTAACAAGGGAGGGGGAAGCAGGGGGTACTTCAAAGCGGCAGTGCCGCGTGGAGCCAGACCCCGGGCTCTGCGTGGTGCTGCTACTTTGAACCGTCGTTGCGGGAGCCTGCCATGAGGCTCCTTCTTGTGTTTCAAAGCAGCAGTGCTGCATGGAGCCCCCACCAGCAGGGGAGTCCCCAGCTGACCCTGGGCTCCATGTGGTGCTTTCACCTTTAAAGTGTAGCAACAGCCGCTTCAGAGGCGGAGGCGCCCTATCGACTAGTCGCATTTTGCATCGACGATTCAGTTAGTTACCTGCAATTTAACATCCCTATGATCAACTTAACGACTTGAGAACTGCCTTGTTTGTCCTTTAAGTCTAAGCAGTGGCTGGTCTTAGGCAGATGTGTGACCATGCCACCTGGTAGTGGAGTTTGACCAGGTAACTTTCCATAGAAGGTGGGGATAGAGTACAAAACATTAACACCCAAGGAGCATCTGTATAAACAATGGGAAGCTATCTGTCCTTTTGTCTTTGACCGGCCTGAGGCAGGGCCTAGCACACTAAGGTACAAAGGGAACCACCGGAGACTAGGGTTGCCAGGTGTCTGGTTTTCTACCGGACAGTCCAGTTTTTGGGCCCTCTGTCCGGTAAAAAAATGTGCAATGTTCGGTATTTCCTGGTTTTCTGGCTGGGTGCTGGACGGAAACCTGGTGGGGGCGGGTGGAGTGACTCGGAGGTGGGGCGTGATCGGTGCTGGGAGCCCTGGTTGCGAGTGAAGAGGAGGAGGGGCAGCCCGGTCCACGCTCCTGCGCACTGGTCAAGCTCATGGTGGAGCTGCAGCCGGACTCACTCACGCGGGACAGGAGCACCCTAGGATCTGCACAGCTCGGGTCAGTCCTGCTCCCCGCCTGCTGATTTGCTCCCCTGCCCCCTCCGCCAGATCTGTGTCCCACTGGCCGGTTCCTACTCCGGATCTTCCCCAGCCAGTCCTCCCCACCCCCAGCTGCTTCCAGCTGTGTCCCGCTGGCTGGTTCCCGCTCCAGATCTTCCGTGGCCAGTCCAGCTGCACCCCCCACCAGCCCTGCTTCCGGCGGCCAGTTCTCCCCTTCTCCTGAGCTCCCCCCGGCCAGCTCTGCCCCTGCCAGCTGGCAATGCAACACAATCAGTGAAACCACCAGGCAATCCCACATTAAGATCTCCTCATCTTTCTCAGTGTTCAACCATGATTTAATCTTCTCCACGATATCTCATCCACATCCACATGATAAAGGCCTATTCCCTCCACCCCCACATAAAACATAACATTTAAATCTCACCATGTAGAATCATTAGGGATACATGTTGGCCAGTTGTTTGGAATGTAGAATTGGTGTTGCATTGAAAGGGATAGCAAACGTGTAGGGTTTATATTTTTATTTCATTATTCAGAATCTAGTCTTGTAGAGAATTGGTTAAGATGAAATAGTTGACTGTAGTGTTTATCATTTTGGGTAGTTGTTTGCATTGTTTCTGGCAGTGTTATTTTGTTGCATTCCTCATTTGGAGGTAGAACTGGTCAACAAGTGTTTTTTAATCCTTTATTTATCTTCAGTAATAAAACTATTTGGACAGGATGATTGGAATGAGTCACTTCCACACTTCACTTTTCATGATAAAGATTTTAAAACTTTTCCTTTTTCCTTTTTTCCTTTTCCTTTTCCTTTTCCTTTTCCTTTTCCTTTTCCTTTTCCTTTTCCTTTTCCTTTTCCTTTTCCTTTTCCTTTTCCTTTTCCTTTTCCTTTTCCTTTTCCTTTTCCTTTTCCTTTTCCTTTTCCTTTTCCTTTTCCTTTTCCTTTTCCTTTTCCTTTTCCTTTTCCTTTTCCTTTTCCTTTTCCTTTTCCTTTTCCTTTTCCTTTTCCTTTTCCTTTTCCTTTTCCTTTTCTGTAATTTATTTGTACTGTTCATTTTCACTTGCAACCACTTGAATCCTACGGTTTGTACTTAACAAAGTCACCTTTATTTATCAACCCTGTGTAAATAATTATCTGGGGGGAGAAATCAGTGTGCATATTCTCTTTCACTGATAAAGAAGGTGAACATCCTCATGAGCTTTGTGTGAAACGTTTACTCAGAGAAAGACCGATTTATTTTGGGGTTTGATCCCTTCTGGGGGCAGGATTCTGGAGTGCAGTGCCTCAGAATTGCATTCTTCCAGAGCTGAAGTGGTTCAGTGTCTTCATTGCTCTTCATTTACCCCAACTCTGTGCCTTGTCTGGGAGGGACCAGAGAATCTGGCCCTGCAAAACCCTGTTCTGGGAAGCCCCAGAAAAGGGCCAGTGGCATAATCAGCACACCAGGAAACAGCCCCAAGGGATCATCTGTGACTGAACCACATCACATTCATCTCTCCTAGTCTCATAAAGGTCTTGGGTCTCTTCCAATTCTTGCTCATAAGAGGCACAGAGGTCTGAGTTAGATGTGTTCTCAGCAGTTT